ACTAGGAAGAAGCCAGTGAAGCCCCTAGCTCTGAGCCCACAGTAGGCAGCCCGGCCTTGCCCCACACACAAATTTGGGGGGCATATGGCCCCATGTCTCCCTGGGGGTGTACGCAGGGCAGGGAGCTGCCCCCCAACCCATCCACAGCTCCATGCTTTGCCCCACCTTGCTCCAGCTGGGCAGCTCTTACCCCAACCCCACTCCCTCCGTCACTGTGGGGGCCTTGAGCTACCCTCCCATGCTCCTTCCCTTCCCCACAGACTTACCTGTAGGGTGCTGCTCTCCAAGCTGCTGGGCTGCATATCAGCAATCGGATCGTTATTGGTCAATATGGCTGGTTAATACTTGGCCATCGGTATCAACCAAAAAATTTTTTATCAGTGCACCCCTAGTTATCGCTGCACTTATCAGTGCAAGGTTAACTATTTAACCTTTCACATCCCTACTCTGTATGAAGTACCTGCTTTGGTATGACCTTCTTTCCACACTAATGCAAAAATGGAATTTACTTGCAGCCTGTACAAACAGCTACCAAATGATTTTTAGCAGTGTGACCATCTGTGCCTCATTTCTACTTTCAGTTAGGGCAGTGATTCTGCAGGACCCTACGGTACCTTGTGATCCTTTTAAGGGTGATATGGGGTGCTACATAATGTTAGCACTGTTTAGGTGTGCAAACAAGATTCACAAGATAATCCTAGAGATTGCAAAGAGGAATCCTTGTGTAAAAAGCATTCTGACAGGCTGTGAGCTTTCTGAGTTGATTGCAAGAGAAGAATTGTTTTATCTTTCTGTACTCAAAAAATGTGTGGAAACTAAGAGCTGGCATTTTCCAAGGTGTTCCTTGAGCCTAGTAAGATTTGGAACCACTGATGTAGAGTGTTGATACCTTTCGGAGATCATAGCCATTATTTTTTTCAAGCCAGTTTAATATGCTTATTAAAGTTAGGGGCGTAGAACGGCACTTCCAGGCATCAAGAGAGATGGATTAGGTAGGTTGGAGAATGTACCTCACTCTCTTGATCAGAAACACGTTTTATTTCAGTGTACAAGAGCAGAGTGTATGGCATAGTTTCATAGTAGGTAGGGTCGGAAGGGACCTGAGCAGATCATCAAGTCCGACCCCCTGCCATGGGCAGGAAAGAATGCTGGGGTCAACCCGGCTAGGTGATTATCTAGCCTCCTTTTGAAGACCCCCAGGGTAGGAGCGAGCACCACTTCCCTTGGAAGTTGGTTCCAGATCCTGGCCGCCCTGACTGTGAAGTAGTGCTTCCTGATGTCCAGCCTGAACCTACTCTGTCAACTTATGGCCATTATTCCTAGTTACTCCCAGTAGTGCTCAGGGGAACAGGGTCTCTCCCATTTTCCGCTGGCCCCCCTTGGCCAGTTTGTACACGGCCACCAGATCCCCACTCAGCCTTCTCTTGTGGAGGCTGAACAGATTCAGGTCCCATAGCCTCTTCTCGTAGGGCCTGCCTTGCTGCCCCCTGATCAAGCGAGTGGTCCTCCTTTGGACCCTCTCAATGCTGTCCATATCCCTCCTGAAGTGCAGCACCCAGAACTGGACGCAGTACTCCAGCTGCGGCCTGACCAGTGCCACATAGAGGGGGAGGATCACCTCCTTGGACCTGCTCATGATGCATCTGTGGATGCATGACAAGGTGCGGTTAGCCTTCCTGACCGCATCCTCATGCTGGTGGCCCATGTTCACCTTGGAATCAATGACTCCAGGATCCTTTTCTGCCTCTTTGCTGATGAGAAGGGAATTCCCCAGCCTGTATGCATGCTGCTGGTTCTTCCTCCCCAGGTGCATCACCTTGCACTTGTCAGTATTGAAACCCATCCTATTCTTATCTGCCCACCCCTGTAACCTGTCCAGATCTAGTTGTAGCCTGTCCCTCCCTTCTAACATGCCCACTTCTCCCCACATCTTAGTGTCATCTGCGAATTTGAACAGGGTGCTTTTCACCCCCTCATCCAAGTCGCTGATGAAGATGCTGAACAGTGCGGGCCCGAGGACCGAGCCCTGGGGGACCCCACTGCCCACATCCCTCCAGGTCAAAAATGACCCATCCATCACCACTCTCTGGGTGCGGCCCTCCACCCAATTTGCGACCCATCTGACTGCATAGGCATCGATGCCACAGTCGCCTAATTTTTTTAATGAGAATGGGGTAAAAGACAGTGTTGAAGGCCTTCCTAAAGTCCAGAAAGGCTACGTTCACCGCGACACCTGCATCCAAGGATTTTATGAACTGATCGTAAAAGGCAACCAGGTTGGTCTGACAGGACCTGCCTTTAATGAACCCATGTTGGTTGCCCCTAAGCATAATCTCCCCTGCTGGTCCCTCACAGATCTGTTCTTGGATAATTTTCTCAAAGAGCTTCCCCAGGACCAAGGTAAGACTAATGGGCCTATAGTTTCCTGGGTCCTCCTTCTTCCCTTTTTTGAAAATGGGGACCACATTGGCCCTTTTTTCCAATCCTCTGGCACCTCACCAGAGCACCACAAGTGCTTGTTGAGCTGTGCCAGTGGTCCCACAGTGGCCTATGCCAATTCCCTCAGCACTCTGGGGTGGAGATAATCTGGACCTGCTGATTTGAAGACATCCAGTCCCACCAGAAGTTCCCTGACTAGGTCCTCTCTAACCCTGGGCCTGGATGTGCCTCTCCTGAGTTCATCTGGGATCCCAGTTGGGGGGATGTCCCAGTTCCTGCTCAGAAATATGGAGGCAAAGAATTTGTTAAAGAGGTCAGCTTTATCGTCTGGTGCAACCATCAGATTGCCAAGCATGTCCTGATGGGGCCTCACATTACCCGGTGCCTTCTTTTTACTCCCTATGTATTTAAAAAAGGACGTCTTGTTGTAGTGATGTGGAGAAATTGTAGTCAGAAGATGGAGTGAATACAACTTTACAGCAGTGTTTCTTTAATTAAGCTCTCACTTCTCTGGTATCCATAATTATATGAAACTTAATCTAGCAAGCAAAGTATTTTAATCAAAGATTATTTTTTTTAATTCATACGAGCTTTTTGAGGTAGGAAAGTGGCAGCAAAATTATGTCTTTATCTCTCTAAAATGTGTTCGTTTTCTTGAGTTCAAGCAAACATGCATAATGTTTGAAATTTGGCTGGAGAATAGAGTGCATGAATTTGGAGGACGTGGAGAGAAGTGTTCCCTCAACAAAACTGAGTGTGTTAAATTTATGAATTAAGCATGTATATTTCCCCACCCAATGTATAGCTTTCTTTCCTAATATGAGACCCAGTATATCTGTGCAATAAGTTGCAAATCATTTTTCAGAAGGTGACATCCTGTTGTACTTACCTGCAAGCATTAATATCTGCATATACAGGTTGGCCACCCCTGTTCTAGTCTGTGGCATACTTGTCACAAGTGGCATGGGCAGGCTCTGTGTGGCATGCAACTGATCAGGGAGGGGACAAGTGTCACAGCAGCAGATAGGGCTGGAGCCAGAAAGCAGAGGAGGAAACTGGGCAAGGAGCACAGAGTAGGGAGCAGAAAGCAGAGCAGCAGTTTGGGCAGAGGAAGGGGATCAGAATGCTGCTTGGGAAGGGTATGGGGCTAATTTGTGATGCACATGCCAGAAAGGTTGGCCCCCATTTTGGGGGCCACTGTCCACATCCAAACATGTGGGTAGTTTTACTGCTTGAAAAGTGTAGTCAAAAGCTATTGTGTTTACACACAGTAGTAGAGGAGGAGGCTAACGCCTCATTGAAGACCAGATATTCAGCTAGGTCTAACAGAAGTAAAAGTTCTGTAGGACTATAAGGGTTCTCACAGACCCAAACTATTAACGCCTTAGCATTACAGAATATAAAATGAGCACCCAACTTCCTTTGTCTGTTCAGAGCTTCATCTCAAGCTTTAGAGGTGTAAGTTACCAACTTCCTTCAGTAGTATGCCTTTCAACGCTGTCTTTAAAATGTTGTATTGTTTTCTACTTCTAACATTTCAAAATAAGAGAGGCCCTTCTAATTTAACTGCTGCGTGACTTCATAGCAGGACTTGTGTTTTTTTGGTTTGTTTTTTTTTTAAAGCCTTCCCCATTGCTGATGCCAGATAAGCAATGGAATAAAGACTGAGCTAGACTGAACACTGACAACATTCAGTTTGATAACCTTGGTTAAAAGTTATTTCTGTAGAGTTTCTGAGTCATCAATTCATCAGGAGTATTAATAAGCACACAGGTATCTGAGTACACCACTGTTGTTCTTAAATGTGGAATTGGTTTTGGAGTCGACTCAGAATATTTCAGATAAGTCTTCTAGTAGGGCATGTTTCATGAATGGAAGAAGACTTGAAATCTTATTATTTGGATTTTTCAACTCCTATTTATTCTAAGAGCCTGTAGAATACAGCTGTTTAAAGGCTCAAAAATAGACTTGTTCTCTTTATAGTGTATTCTGTAGCTAGCATGTTTTGAGATGCATTGTGTTATTTCATGAAGTGCTCCCTGGACCTCATTGCTTGTCATCTTGCATACTGTGTGAATGTAAGGAGAGCATAAGTTACCGAGGATAAGAGCAATGTCCTGTTACCTTTTTTTGTTGTTTAAATGTACTTTTTTAGCTCTATGACATATGTGGGGTTGTGGCAGAACTTAAGGGTGTCTATGCATGTGCTCCAATGTGTTCTAATTAGACTATATTGGAGCAGACTTGATTAATTATTGAATGCCTTTTAGTTAAAGTGCCCCTGCGGCCGTTTTGAAACTCAGGATGCTGGATACACATGATGTTGTGGCATTTTAATTAGAGCGGCCATCCAGGAGCTGCTCTAATTAAAAACGCCTCCCACACCCACCCCCACCCAGAGCATGTGTATAGACACCTTAAGATGAGAATTTGCTGTATAATGTGAAATGTTGCCCTAAAGTCATTACTCAATTCGAGTCACGCTCAACATAATTGTAATAATTATTTCCTAAAACAATCTTTAATATTGGTTTGGTTTTGTTTTGTTTTTCATCCCTCAGATTTGAATATCCCGAATCAAAATGCCTCAGCAGAGAGAGCTAGAAATGTCCTAGCTCTGGAGACTTCTCCCACAGAACTGGTGGGAGAACAAGCAGCTTGCCAACCTGCACCAGTCCATCCAAGTGCCATCAATTTCTCCCTAAAACAATTGGGTACTGAGATCAAGTGAGTGTTGCCTTCATATTTTATGGTAGTATAAGAGTGATGTAGCTTTGCTGGTCTACAAATTGTGAGAGGCAAGGATTTCTGAGAATGAGACCTTGTATTAACCCACCTGTGTATTTGGGATAGATTGAGCATGTTAATAAGTTTGCTCATCACCTGACCTGAAGAAAAATGTTCTGTTTTTGAAAACTTGACTATATCTCAACTACTGAGTTGGTCCAATTTCACTTTAAGAAATTCATGGCTCTTGCATTTCCTTCACGTGAGAATTATACTTGTTCCCCACCAAATGCCCAGAGATGCAACAAGATGCTGGCATACTGTGGTCATATAAGAAACTAATAAAAAATTAAAAAAATTAGCTAGATATTTGAAAAAAAATAATGAAATCTTGGTTAAAAGTTATTTCTGTAGAGTTATTTCCAAGTAGAGGGGAGGGTGTCCCATTTACAGGCCATTGAGGCAGACATGGCAGGATTCCTCTATTTCTTTAGCCTTGGCATGAGGGGGAAGTGATGTGATCAGCATCCTGCTCATGAATGGCACATGCCCCCAGCAGCTGGGTGAGCATGACTGCACCAGCAGCAGCAGGAGCCTGGTGACGGTGAGCAGGGAGCTCCCACAGACGTTGCCAGCACTGTCAGCAGGGGTGGCGAGTGCTGACCACAGGTCAGTGACCACCTGCAAGCACCGCTGGCAGTGTCAGCAGTGGCCAGGGGTGATCTTGGACTGCCCACAGGCTTGGGGACTTGGGCAGGGGGATGGGCTGGTGCAGGCATGGCAGGGCATAGCGTCCACTCCTAGCACTACCACGCCTGCATCCTGCACCCCACTGTGCTGGCTGGCAAGCAGTGACAGTGCCGGTGCCGGCTGGCAAACAGTGGCAGCGCAGAGTCCCCACTGCCAGCACTACCATGCCCGCATCAGCACTGGGAGCAGGGACTCTGTCTTGTCACCACTTGCCCGCCAGCACAGGGGGGCAGGATGTGGGTGCCGCAGTGCTGGGAATAGGAGCTATTCCCTGTTGCCACTTGCCCCCTTCCACCCGGAGCGAGCTGCACTTGCATCGCATCCCTGCACTGGCTGAGCAAGCGGCAGCAGGGCAGAGCCCCACTCCAAGTGCTGCCACACCCGCATCCTGCACCTCCCTGCCCCCCTTCCCTGGCTGGGCACCTTGTCCCTGACCCTGTCCCAGTCCCAGGCCCAGCCCCAATCCCTCCCCCCAACAGATTTACCAGCTGGAGGCAACTGTGTCAGCTGCCTGTTTAGTCTATGGCCGAACCTCCGAAGCGGCACCAAATCTTTCAGATCCGATTTGGCTGAATGGAGTCGGAACAGTGATTTGAAACTCTGAATTGAATCGCTGTCTTCCAAGTCGGCCAAATCCAAAGTGAATACTTGCCACTTCGCACAGGCCTACTACTCAGTAGATGTCTGTGTGGGCCTCAGAGGAAATGATGAGTAAAAACCCACTACTCTCACCTGGGATTAAACCCAGGTTCTTACAGTCCATAGCCAGTTGCCTTACCAGCTGAGCTGTGCATCGCCCCTGTTGTCCAAGTACCTCTTGAAACAATTTATACCTACTAATGTTATTAATGTAGAAAATACAATTGGAGATACGTCAGTAACTTTTCTGGCTATGGAAGGGGAGAAGAACCAAATCCTGTCAAACGCCATGAGTCTGAGCTCAGGCTACAAAGCCATTACATGAATCCAGAAACTACAGAGTGTCAATCCCAGATTGATAATGCCTGACACTGTCAAGCAGTTAAACACTCTGTTTCATATCTCCTTTTTGTAAAACGGGATAATAATTATTTGATTCAGAGTGGTGTGTTATGTTTACTGGTTAGTTAATGTTTATGCATTATTTTTTAGATGAAAGTCTTTTAAGTATTTCAAGGTAATGATAAATATACTAAACTTACTGTGCTCCAGAGTGGTGTCCTTGAATATGCTGCGCTGCTCTGGGCAGATTGCCTCCTGTGCCAGAACCCATATAGCTGCATTTCTGTAGCACCATGGGCAGCCTTGAATGGCAGTGGCACTCAGAGGCCTGGATTCCTAATAGGAGTCCATTTCTCTGATCCACCTAGTAATCTACCCTGAGTATCAAGCACACAGATATTGAATTAGTGCCATCGGCTCAGTTAGTACTATAACTAAAAGGAAGGCATGTAATTTCTCACTTGAGTTACTTTGGCTGGGATACTCAAATCCATGAAACAAAGTGAAAGCAAAGCTACAGTAATACAGTTGCATTTGTCTGCATTAATACAGTAATAAATCTTCATATTGAATAAAATTGAAATGGAGTAGGAAGATGTAACATGGAATAATTGCAGATTAGGTTAATGGAGAACATTGTGATGATTTCAAGTAAAATACTATGCCTCAAAACTGTTGTTCTCTTTGTGTGACTCCTAACAATAGTCTTTATAGGACTACCTTAATATAGGTGGGTGTAGTAGCTCTGCTGTATGCAACTTTAGCAACTTGCACTGTAAGCTCTGTTTGCAATTGTTTAATTTTTGTCAGACTACCTGAAATTTTTAATCCTGCTGTCTGCTTCAGGCTGAAGTGGCTAAAAATATTTGGCTACTTCTGACACTTAGCCTAGAGAAGATTACATTTTGCCCATGTTGGAACTCCTGATTCTTTTTAAATGCTCTAGTACAGTGGAAACCAACTGTTTTGTGGTAGATACGCCACAAATTCTCCTTGCACCCTCCGTAAGTACCACTTTGATCCCCTTCCCCTGCCCAAACAAGGTGCTCTGCTTTCTGCCCTGTGCTTCTTGCCCAGTCTGCTGGTTTTTCTGCACCTTCCCCTGTCTGCCTTTATGCTGCTTGTCTGATTCCCACCCTGATCTGCCATGTGGCGCACACACACCCAGGCTGCCTGTGCCACTTGTAGCACACGTGCCACAAGTTGGCCACCGCTGCTCTAGTGCATCCATTTTTATTTACTTTTTTTTTTTTTTTTGGAGTAGAAATGCCAAAATTGACAGCAGTGTGTGGTCGTTGAGTCAGGTATGTGGTTTTTGCCTTCACTATGAAAATCTGTGCAAACTTGGCCCTGTATAAAACCTTTGAGAACATCTTGTGCTTGTGCTTGTGCTTGTGCTTGTGCTTGTGCTTGTGCTTGTGCTTGTGCTTGTTAGAGACTGATAGTTTAACAGCTAGAAGCTGTAAAAACTCAATCCACAATGAGCTGTCATAACCCCTAGTGCTAATTATATTAGTGCATTTGCTCCCTCAATGCAATTGTTGTGCATGTTCCCACAGCCTGGGCTGGAACCCAAGTTGGAGTTTTTCAGGTGGCACATCCATTCAGGCCCCTTATGCACATGTATCATGATATATCTTTAATTACAAAACTGTTTCCACCCCACCCTACTCTCTGCTAGACCCTGCCTCATTCAATGAAACAGATGCAAAGTACCCAATTAATAAAGAAATGATTCATTAATGAGGCAGGGGTTCTTGAGACAACAGCCTCTTTAACATGAGCCTGATTGATTCCAGACCATTCCATCTTGAGCTCTGAAGAAGGCAAGGGTCTTGTTTTAAAAAAAAGTATGTATTGGTGCTGTCTAATGGCACAAGAATGTCTGTGCAAAAGGGGCACTGAGGTTACACTGGCAACCTCATTGGCATTTCCTACCATATGAGTGCTTGACTTTGCTAGCTGAACAATGCTCTTAACATAATTCTTTGGATGCAGTGTAGAACTCAGATTAGTTGTAGTGGATTTCTGCATACAGGGTGCTGACATTCAGATCCTGAAGGGGTAATTAGTTGTCTTCATAATACACTTTAAAAATCCAAATAAAAATCAAGTTAGAATGATTAAAACTGGACTTATTTCTACTTTTACTGTAAGGGATGGTGAGAACAAGACTACGTTCCAAATGATCCACAATTTTATAAAATACATTGGTTTGCAGTTGTTTTCATTTTAGGTAGTTGAGGGATGCAGAGGATACTTACCAAGGCTATTTCATTTGCATAGGGTTTCCTGAGTTCTTATCAGTTTTATCTGTGTGCCTTCAACTCTGAGCCTTGTTAGAAAGGTATTAGTAGTCCCATTGTAGAGAGAATGAACTGGGATTCAGAGCTCAGAGGACTTGTCCAGGATTTTGGAAGAAATCTGGTAGTTCTGAATAGCTACATTTGCTACAAGACTAAACTTTCTCTGCACCAGAATTTAATGACAGATTTGTATATTTATCTTTGTGTGGAACATTTAATGTAGAGTTATGATCCGTTTGACAGCATGGAAATGGCTGTTATAATATCTGCATTTACTTTGAGCAACAGGAGGAAACCGATTTTAAAGGGATGAAGCATGTGTATTATGTGAGAAGTGTATTGTATCGCTATACTAATTGCTCTTGGTGAAGCTGGAAGATGTGTTTTCACTTTGAAACTGTTTTCAACTTTTAAAACGATTAAAAACCAAGTGGCACAAATAAAGGTCTGGCCTGAATAGTCTTTCCTCAACTCACAACTCCCTGAGGCTCTGTTTGTGTAGAGTTCAGCATGTTTAGAAGCACAAACTGTAATAACCCACAACTTATGTAATTGCATGATGGGATTTCAAAACAAAATAGAGTAGTTTTAAATATAGAATGAGCTGGAAGATCATTTTTTGAACTTTCACATAGTTTATGTAACTATATATAAATATTATTTAAAAGGAAAAATACTGGCTCAGACTCTGCAAACCATAAGTCCTGTGATGTGTTTTAGATGTTTCAATAGGGTGAAAAAAAAATTAATGACTTCCTTGCATATGAGAGAGGAATTCAACCAGCTGCACAATTTTGTCATTAATGGCAAGTACTAAAGTCATGCTATCTGTATCCTCAAGTAAGTACCTTCTGGAGAGAGTGTTCAGAAGTTGAATACTTGCTATGATGATGGATACCCCTTGTAGAAGTATTTGAAGGCCAATTTTTTTAGAGTTCATTTTGCATATTTTTTCTTGCCTCC